ACACGAGCCGCCACACCAGAACACACGAGAATCAAAAAAGGATGTGAAGAGAAAATAAACGGAATATATAATATATAAATCGTTAGCTATTTGTACGTGAAGTCGAATAGATACACACAAACACTTGACGATAAACTGTAGATAACATGTGACAGAAATAAACTTGAATTGAGTCTCGTAATAGTTGAATGGTTGGCTAGTTGCCAAACCAGTCCTCTGATGGAGGAGCACGATTGCTTTGACGCGGTGCTGCGCCACCAAACCACACACCATCAAACGCCCTGAACCTCATGGACTGCGCCCCCAAAGCCTCCACCTCTGACCTCACTTGGTTGCTGCCTATACTGAAATAACATATCGCGGCCTGAAATTATCGAATTGTGTCCTCCATGATCGAAATACGTCCTTCCATTATCAAACTTCCTTTGAAAAAATGGTAGGCCACAATCAACGAGGAAAGGCGCTAAAAAGGTGGACCAAATGGACCATTTTCGCGATCACTAACAATCACAACAGTATTCTAATCGAGGCATTTCATGATGAAAACCCTAACAGATAAACTGACCTCCGAATTTCTGACCACCGCTTCCCCGACCCTCACACGCCCTCCGCCGCTCCGAGTTCCAAATCGGGCCACATCGCCTGCGACACGCTCAAGCCAATCTGGCAACTCCTGAAGAAATTTTCATAAAATTTAGACTTCAACGCTAGCAGCATTATGACGCACCTGATTCGCTTCAACGATCAAGTCCATAAGATCTCTAGCGATGTTGCGAATTACTCTCGTTTGAAGAACGCAATGTCCGCACACCGACCTTGATTAGAAACGTAGAGCAGTGAATGACGCTCAAACGTGCACGCAAGCGTGTTCAAAATCCATACCTTATATTTCCAACACGCCCTGTGCGACCAATACGATGGACGTATTCATCGATTTCTGCAGGTAGATCGTAGTTGATAACATGCTTCACATTAGGGATATCTAACCCTCGAGCTGCAACTGCCGTAGCTACCAGTATAGGAGTAGCGCCAGACCTGAAAAGGCAAAAGTAACTGTTTATCAGAGGGCCAGAATAAGCGGTAAAAGACCCTATTTACAAACACAAAGCAAACACCCACCTGAACAATCCAAGTGTTTCTCCATCATTCAGAACTGCTTCAAGTCTCCATGAATAGCGACCACTTCATAATTATTGTTTGATAAGTAATATGAAAGATCAGAAGCTCCTCGCTTTGTTTCGACAAATACTAGTGTCAGCGAATTTTGGCCTCCTGCGTCTAGTAGGTCCATCAAATATGACCGCTTCTCATGCTCTTCGACCCAAACCACCTAAATTTATGAACATTGAAGTATTGTTGCGTTATTAAAACCTAAGCCATACTGCGGCATTAGTATCGCAGAAGCGGAGACAACAAAAATCGTACCTTCTGCATAATATTTTCCGAAGTCGAACCAACCCTACCAACTGCAAGAAATACGTAGTTTGGCATCAGGAAATCTTGTGCGAGCACCTGAACAACATTTTTTGAACTTAGTACTTCCTCAAATATGTTACATCCTTCAATTTCAGTACCTGAACTATCTTGGGGAACGTCGCGGAGAACATAGCTGTTACGCGATCACCTTTCCGAGGCATAGTAGAAAGATCCACAATCTGAAAGACACAAATACTCATCAGTGGCAAACAAATTTGTTCTATATTCAATTTAATAAAGAGGACGCGATTAATTACATTACCCGATGCACCATAATACCCTCAAAACGCCAATACCCCAACCATACGATTCTTTAGAAAGATTCTACTGTTTGATTTGAAACTCCACTTCAAAACAATAGTACAAGACACAAAATAAGCAAACCTGTCGGATCTGCGGCTCGAAACCCATATCCAACATGCGGTCGGCTTCATCAAGCACGAGGTAACGACAACCTTTCAGACCGATGTATTCTTGATCCATCACGTCAATTAGTCGACCTGGTGTGGCGATCAAAATGTGGCATCCCAGCTGTAAAGCATAAAAATCTTGATTGGATTACAGAAATAGTTCTCCACAACAATTTTTTTACAACCGTCCAGCTCGTAAACCTCCAAAAACCACGACCAGCAGAAATCAGTGTATCACTCCATGTGCCAGATTCTTTCAATTCTTTTCTCCATCAGCACATCAACTTCTAAAAACACATCCTCGAGAATCACCTCGTCTATAGATCAAAAAAAGAACGAGCTTAGCTGACAATCTTGAAAAACCAAGATCACCAAATGCAGCTGACGGAAATACTTATACTTGATTTAGCTCAGAAAACTATCACGCCGAATTCTGTGAATTTATCTTTACCTAGTTCTCGTCCTTTCCACCGTCAAAGTAAGCAGCCAAGTGATCGGAGTAGCGGTAACTGAACTTGCGCGCACTCATTGTAGACTCTGAACGAGGTTAAGACATTTTCCCCATCCCGGTATTTTGGTTAACATGGCGGTATGGTCAACCGTCATGTTGTGCCGATTTCAAAATTTTTTGGCCCCTCCCTGTGGGAGATTTTCATACGACCCCCATACCATGACCATCATCCTCCGCTAACCACCTCCACCACCATAACTGCTTACATAGATAGCACTCTACTACCACATGAAACACTTCACTTCAACCCCAAAATTCCTTGAGAACTGCTGTCAATCGTAGAGACTGGAAGGGGGGTCAGCTTCTAATTTAAAGCCCAAGTGCGACCTCCTATCGAAGGAAAAGATAGATTCTTCTTGGATATTTGCGAGCGGACAGTTGACCACGGCTAGCAATATTGGTGCCAGTGGGAGAGACGCCTTGGCTCCGGTTTATATGTTCTTCATTCCTTTTATGTTGTGTCTATCCTGTCAGCTGGTTGAAGCTGCAGTACGATGACGGTTGTGCTACTCTTGCTGTGAATATTCGACTAATTTGCCCACCTTTATTCGGAAGTTACTATGATGAGTTAGAAAGCACGATTGCGATTGCTCAATAACATGTGTGTTCTCAATTCGTTCCATTATTCTGTTTCTGCGACGAAAGTAGTCATTGTGTACACATTTTTTACTGACTCATTTAAATACACGTTTTTTACTGACTCATTTAAACTTAGTCTTAGTAACGCTTGATTTTTTTACGCGAACCCGAAATGATGAAGTCCATGCAGACTGTATTTTCCTTACCAGAAGTGCTCTCAATGATAAATATTTTCGTGATAATTTTGTTTTATACAGCGCTGAGTATCATCTTCCCCATTCGGGAAGTTCATTTTTTCCATAGTAAATTACTTTCGGATTGGGACTTTTTAAAGTTTTTTTAAGCATTTTGGACAGCAAAACGAACAGACCCCTCTTCTGAATGCAAAGCTGTACGCGCTCTTCTTGAGCATGTTGCTTGACGACCGACGAACTCAGCGATGCTGCTGAAAAAAAGGTTGACCATCACCAGCGATCGTAATATGCTGCCTTAGTGAGATTATTCTTAGGGGGGTCTTTCAGGCAAGCAAACACGCGAAAACTGACTGACAGCGTGCACAGAAAAAAAAGGGTGACATCACAGCGATCTTCACACGACGCAGGCTGGGACCGGCCCCGCCCCGGGTGACGCGCCGTAGTCTGACGGATCGCTCTCTGGAAACGATCCCTTCATTGTAGGACTCATGTATGGACCACAAAACCATGTTTCGTTTTCGCTGAACGGTTTCAGTAGTATCAAAAAAGTGGTGAATAATACCCTTGATGGTTCAATCCCCCGCGGCGACTAAATTTTGCAATCAAGGTTGGCGGCCACTTGTTGGCTTCAAAATGGTCCTGACGATGAATTTGACATCTGATTTTGACATTTAGCGCGATTTGGCACCAAACCGTAGGCGCCAACCCAAATGCAAAATTTAGTCGCCACGGGGGATCGAACCATTAACAGTACCTTATGCTTCTTTTTTGGTACTGCTAAACCGTTCAGCGAAAATGAAACATGGTTTTGTGTTCCCGTCCCTACAATATGCAAAAAACCGTTTTGAAAAAGCGTGGCTTGCCCTGAAAGACCCCTTTTGGTAGAAGTTCCAAATTACGACGTCATGACCTAATAACTCCTTGTGGTAGCATGTAGCAAAATTACTAATATCCTCATGGATGAGAAGCAGACAATGCTTCACCCTGAAAGTGCAACATTACAGGACCTTTGAAATCGGTCACTTCCTTTTGAGGTACACCACGCACTCTGCTTTATGGATCGAGATCTGGATTGTAGTGGCATTTATTACAGTTTGGCATTCACAATGGACTGATTGAGTGAATAGCTGTTGTTTTCTTTCTGTTTCTGCCCTCTCAGACGAGTCTGATGCTAATCAAACGTAAGCGCAGAGTGACGACTAGGTTGAAGCGCGTGAAATTATAAGATTTGATCCCGAATCGTACATTCGTAACGACGCCGCCTGCCACTGTCGCTAGAGATACGTCATGAGTTACTCCAGAGAAATGGGCTGCGCATGCCTGAAGACCAGAGTCAACCCTGCGTTGCGCAGTTCGCAACGGCACGTTGAGAGATCCTCAACGCACGCTGTATGGGCGGAGACACAGACGGCTCGAGCATGCGAGTGTGAATGTTCGCGCGAGAGAACGTGTCTAATCGGGCGAAACTGCGCAACGTGGCCGTTGAGAACTGCGCAACGCAGGGTTGACTCTGCCACTTTAATGAGACAGTAGCTAGTTTTAATGCTTCGTCAATTTCACAATAATATACGGGAAAAAACCAGAAAGGCGTAAAAGTTAGTGAAAGGTGTCGCTTGCTTGTTCTGTTACAGATTTAAATTTCTGTTTTCCCTTTGTGAAATGTTCTCTACGCCCTCCGTGGACTGCATGCACTCACTTCTTCAAAGTTCCGCTGAACTGCCTTTTTCAGAGCGTTAATTGCCGGAACTGCTTCTAAGCAAAGCAATTATCGTGTAAAAGCTTTCTTAGTAAGCTTTAGCGGTATTTTGAGAAACGACTTCTAGGGGAACTAGACCAATTTTCTGATGTCAGCCACCTCAATTGTCAAGTATTCTAATACAACCTTTCTTGATCATATGGAAGAACGATGTCCACTTTCCTTTCTTGAATCCATGGGATCAAACATGTTGAGGTCAGGTACTTTTTTGTCATCGTTAGTCAGGTCGTCAGTCTCACAGCTGGGAGGCTTTCTATGCATAGAGAATTAATCGGAAGGGCTCAGTGGACGCCTTCACCTTAACTATTCCATTTACCCGCGGATCCGGGCGCCAACGGAAGCGTTAGAGGCGTTTTCACGACTCTTCTACGATGCTCTACAAATGTGGCTAAGATTGACGCTTTTTACTCTGAGATATGCGATCAGGCGGTAATGGGATTCGTACAAGAGGGCTGGGACACACCAAAGCTGGCTGGGACGAGACACTCGTTTGACTCACAGCTGCCGCTTAGCATAAACAAAACGGAATACTGCCTGCCATTACTTCATCAATCATGGCAGACCGAACCCCTCTGGTAAGTAGTGCCAAGTCCTCGTAGCTGAGATCTACTCGGACAGCAAGCCTGACACTAGAGCTGACACAACTGCCGGAATCAATGCCGCCTGGAGCGAATACGAGACTTGTCACCGGTGTACTCTGAGGGCAAAAAAAGTACTGCCCACCCATAGTGTACACTTCAGTCGAGTAGCTTTGCATCCTGTACAGAGCCGCGTTTGAAACTACGAGTTATGAGGGAGAGGGGCCCTGGTTGTATCCGATGTTGTGAAGGCAGGACGCAATGATACGAGAGACAAGCCTCACTGGAGGTAAGCATTTCTTTGCATCCGCCGTCTTACGAGCAAATACCCAAAATCTTAGCAGAATACAGTATTGCTCCTCTGTTCGCGAAGAAGAGCGTCGAGTGCACAACACACACCACAAGTGACGACGGCCAAGAAAGAATAAAAAGCCATTTTTTGCCGTCGTTACTTCTGGTCTGTAGTCTAGTATGTTTTGCACTCGACCCTCTTCTCGTTCCCGAAACAGAGGGTAAGTCGGACAACTATCCCTCCTTCGCCGGTGCACGTCGAAGAGGTTGTCGCGAAATGAATACCGCTTGCCTTGAAGCCACGGTAGCTGCTGCAAAAGAAACAGTCATACTCCACTGGCGTTTCAAATGCACGGCGCAACCTGGGGATGTCATAAACTTCAGGTTTTTTTGTTTCTTTTTTCAAATTTCAATCAGTAACACAACACATAGTTACGCACACTTTATTACAAAAAATTCTACATAACAGAACACATTCGTCATATAATTGTGAATGTTCATTCAGCATTGAATTACACAAGCCGACCCGTCGTCAATGGGATCAAAACGCGTCGCGTGAAATAAACAAATGGCTAACATCTTAAAGAAACTCACGTGTCAGTGGAAGAAAAATCAATAATTATCACCATCAATCGTAAAGAATGACTGCATACACGATCATGATCATCATTAAATAAAAGAACAAGAAAGAAAATCATTACAATTCCTATTTGTCACAAACAGAGAGAACATATATAATGAAGTAGATTATCATTATTCAGTAATTCTATCGTGAGAACCAACCGAATCCATAGCACATCATGAGGGGAGAGCAAACACATTCGAGATGAGTGCAGACAAAGCCATTTCACACATGCCGAGCTGACAAAGCGCCAACGTCGCATCTAGCACCGCCGCATTTGCCGCCAGTTAGCAGAGTGCTGCCGGCGGGCGGTGAAGAAAGACGAAAGAGCTTCTGGTGTCGAGCAACGAACACAAGAATTCAGGGTACAGAACAAACACTGTCTCTGTCCCAATAACGCGACGCGCGCCGCCCACCGAACACGGGCCGCCACACCAGAACACACGAGAATCAAAAAAGGATGTGAAGAGAAAATAAACGGAATATATAATATATAAATCGTTAGCTATTTTGTACGTGAAGTCGAATAGATACACACAAACACTTGACGATAAACTGTAGATAACATGTGACAGAAATAAACTTGAATTGAGTCTCGTAATAGTTGAATGGTTGGCTAGTTGCCAAACCAGTCCTCTGATGGAGGAGCACGATTGCTTTGACGCGGTGCTGCGCCACCAAAACCACCACCACTGCCCTGGAAGCCTCTGGACTGCTGCCCCCCAAAGCCTCCACCTTGACCTCCTTGGTTGCTGCTATACTGGATACGATGATCGCGGCCTGAAATTATCGAATTGTGTCGTGCTTGATCGAAATACGTCTCTCCATTATCAAACTTCCTTTGAAAAATGGTAGGCCACAATCAACGAGGAAAGGCGCCGAAAAGGTGGACCAAATGGACCATTTTCGCGATCACTAACAATCACAACGGTATTCTAATCGAGGAATTTCATGATGAAAACCCTAACAGATAAACTGACCTCCGAATTTCTGACCACCGCTTCCCCGACCTCCACGACCTCCGCCGCTCCGAGTTCCAAATCGGGCCACATCGCCTGCGACACGCTCAAGCCAATCTGGCAACTCCTGAAGAAATTTTCATAAAAATTTAGACTTCAACGCTAGCAGCATTATGACGCACCTGATTCGCTTCAACGATCAAGTCCATAAGATCTCTAGCGATGTTGCGATTCTTCTCGTTGAAGAACGATGTCGCAAGACCTTAATTAGAAAACGTAGAGCACTGAATGACGCTCAAACGTGCAGGCAAGCGTGCTCAAAATCCATACCTATATTTCCAACACGCCCTGTGCGTCCAATACGATGGACGTATTCATCGATTTCTGCAGGTAGATCGTAGTTGATAACATGCTTCACATTAGGGATATCTAACCCTCGAGCTGCAACTGCCGTAGCTACCAGTATAGGAGTAGCGCCAGACCTGAAAAGGCAAAAGTAACAGTTTATCAGAGGGCCAGATTAAGCGGTAAAAGACCCTAATTACAAATACAAAGCAAACGCCCACCTGAACGAATCCAAGTGTTTCTCTCTTTCGAACTGCTTCAAGTCTCCATGAATAGCGACCACTTCATAATTATTGTTTGATAAGTAATATGAAAGATCAGAAGCTCCTCGCTTTGTTTCGACAAATACTAGTGTCAGCGAATTTTGGCCTCCTGCGTCTAGTAGGTCCATCAAATATGACCGCTTCTCATGCTCTTCGACCCAAACCACCTAAATTTATGAACATTGAAGTATTGTTGCGTTATTAAAACCTAAGCCATACTGCGGCATTAGTATCGCAGAAGCGGAGACAACAAAAATCGTACCTTCTGCATAATATTTTCCGAAGTCGAACCAACCCTACCAACTGCAAGAAATACGTAGTTTGGCATCAGGAAATCTTGTGCGAGCACCTGAACAACATTTTTTGAACTTAGTACTTCCTCAAGATGTTACATCCTTCGAATTTAGTACCTGAATATCTTTGGGGAACGTCGCGGAGAACATAGCTGTTACGCGATCACCTTTCCGAGGCATAGTAGAAAGATCCACAATCTGAAAGACACAAATACTCATCAGTGGCAAACAAATTTGTTCTATATTCAATTCAATAAAGAGGATGCGATTAATTACATTACCGATCCAATAATACCCTCAAGCCAATGAGCCTCCAAACCCAGGATTCTTGGAAAGGATTCTCACTGCTAGATTGAACTCCACCTCAAAACAATAGTACAAGACACAAAAATAGGAGCAAACCTGTCGGATCTGCGGCTCGAAACCCATATCCAACATGCGGTCGGCTTCATCAAGCACGAGGTAACGACAACCTTTCAGACCGATGTATTCTTGATCCATCACGTCAATTAGTCGACCTGGTGTGGCGATCAAAATGTGGCATCCCAGCTGTAAAAATCTTGATTGGATTACAGGAATAGTTCTCCACAACAATTTTTTTAACCGTCCAGCTCGTAAAAACCCCGTACAACAGTGTATCAACTCCATGTGCCACGATTTCCTTCAATTCAATTTTCTCACAGCACATCAACTTTCTAACAACCTGCTGAGAATCATCTAGTCTATAGATTCAAAAAAATACGAGCTTAGCGTGACAATTTGAAAAAAAAAAAGGATCACCAATGCTAAGTGACGAAATACTTATATTGATTTAGCTCAGAGAACTTACGCGAAGTTTGTTGATTTGATCTTTATAGTTCTCCCTTCCACCGTAAAGTAGAGCCGAAGTGATCGGAGTACGGTAACTGAACTTGCGCGCCTCATTGTAGATCTGGAAACGTATATCTTACTTGTCATATTAATTCCTGTCAGAGTGCAGAGTAAGAATTGCTCTTCCGAACAGGAGAAGAGAAGAGCGAATCTATCAAACATCAAGAGCCAAGGGCGAAACCCCAACAAACTGATACGGGAGGAACATAAGGCAAGTTCAAGGTCAACGAGTTTCTCAAAGTTGACTTGAATTGGTCTCCAAGGATCTCGCATAGTTAAAGCTACGGTCTCTTGACGAAAGTTTGGCCCACCAGTAATCGGTATTAAAATCAGTACCAGCTATGACTAACTATCTTTCGCAGTGTACGTGGTGATGTCTTGTACTATGGTACTGACGCTTGTTAGTGGTAGTACAAGCTTAGCAGGCGGCAGATCGGGTAATATCCTCGAGATCAGGGGTTGCGCCATACCGATTCCCGTGACTAAAGAACCCAAAGTGCCCAAGCCCTTGGTGGGACGGCGCTCTCCTTGAGCAACGGGAACGCCCTGGTAAGGCTATCCCGTGGGACGAAAGATACCACGACCACTTCTTACTCCCGCCTTAGTCCCCTGCAGGCTGCCCCTGCCCAGTCAGGTAGCGCTGGATCAGCAAACAGCCAAGGCGAGAAATCTCAGGGCCGTAGGCTACCAAAGGAGCTGATCGCCTGCACCTACAACTGTCGAAGTTGTCAGCTCGGCCGCTCAGCTTTCGACACTCATTGATGAAGCTCAACGGATCAAGTACCATGTAATCGGCTTGAGCGAGACGAAGCGGAAAGAGCCTCTATCGTGTACCTAGACGGACGGAACTTCAGTGTTCCTAGGAGCTCGCAAGATGGACTCAACATCAGGAGGTGTTGGTTTCCGTAGAAAATTCAGCACTCTGGACCACATCGGGACTTGCCGACGCCTCATCGAAGCAGCCCGTGAGCACCGCCTTCCTCTCGTGATGACCTTCATTGACTACAAGAAGGCATTTGACTCGGTGGAGCCAGTGAAGCGTTTGTGGACGGCGCTGGGAGGAATCAATCCGGTGTTGAAAGGATCTACGTGGATGTACTGCGAGAATGCTATTCTGAATGCACAACAGTGTTTCATCCCTTCCACAATGATGTTGTGGTAGCAGTTCAGAAGGGCGTACGGCAAGGTGATCCGATATCGCCAAATCTGTTTTCCGCCGCTTGCTAGACAGCACGTCCATCACGTGCGCCCATTGCGCGGACTGGGAGCACTTATGGGTGTAAACCTCCGCGAGTGCGTCTCAAATCATCTGCCGATTTTGCGCGCCGAACATGAGATGCTTGATCCGAACTCTCCAGCACACGCGCGTCTTCTGAAGATTTGGCTTTTTGGGGCCCGCAACATCGCCTGGATGAAGGAAGGACAAGCACTATCGGTCGCACAGATCAATACCTGATAAGACCAAGTTGATACGCGAAAATCACACTTCTTCAGCGCCAGCACACACCCGTGCTTCTGAAAGGAAGTCCTATCGAAGACGTTGAGGAGTACGTGTACCTCGGGAGCCAGTTCAACATGAAGAACGACCTTGCTGGAGAACTAGCAAGACGCCGCAAAGCTGGATGGGTTGCATTTTCTTCCATAAGAAGCCGCACTAGAGACCACAGCGGAACCGCAAAACTTCGCAGCGGGATCTGTTACGTGTCAAAGTCGAACGTCATTGCCTGCCTCCGGGGGTTCACACTGCAGCGGGGAAACTGCGTCGAGCTAAACGAAGTCACAGGAAAGGCAACTACTATCTACCCAGGCATCGATTGAACGCCGTCTTCTGGGCTTGACGTTAAGTCGCCAACGAAGAGTTGAGACTTCATAATTCCGACGTTAGAGCCATGTCCCAAGTCAAGGATGTTCTTCTTCACGGTCGATGAAGCGAAGCACAGATTCGCCGGGCATTTGATGAGAAGAGATGACGGGCGATGGAGTTCGGCGACTGTGCGATGGTACCCGCGCGAGAAGAAACGGCCGCAAGGCCGTCCTCCTTTACGATGGGCGGATTCCCTAGCTCATCGAAACAACATCTATGATCCAGAGTCCTTTAGGGTGACCACACACTGGACAACCATAGCCCAAGATCGAGATCAATGGAGAAGAAGTTGGGACCCGCGACAATGGCCAACCGGCGGTCGTTCAGATTGGCACGGTGTCGTCTAAGTAAGTCTACAGATAAGTAAGACGCCCTGAGTTACCGCTTAAGGAATGTCTTCAGGACGTGGAAACGCTTTACGGAGCAACTTTTTGCATGATGTAACAAGCGCGCGCCCATTCAACTTAGAAATCGAGTTTTCCTTTCACTGAAGTAGCACATGGAACCGCAGAACAGTAAGTTTACTTAGTGGCATTGCGTCTCCGAGTCCCCATGAAGCGTTTTCCCCTTCTCTGCTTTCCCGTAGTACGTCGTGCATTGCATTAGCCACGGATGAAATTTCCCGTCGACACGAGGAGATATATCTATGCGCGACATCGGCTGCCATACAAAGCTGGAATGACAGGGGCCGAAAAATGTCGCCTCACTCTCGCTCGCTCTCTCGAAAAATCTGTCCGCTGTTGGTCCGCGAGGGCACCTCAGAAAGAAAAAAAGAACGAGCTCACTAACATGTCCACGTACCGCTGCCCCTATAACAGAGCACAAGATGTTCAGTTCCAATCCCAGCGGATCCTTGTCCTCAGTAGACCCTTCCAGAGGTAGGTGGGAACGAGCGAGATGCTTGTCCCTCATATCTCGAGGTTGACTAATACCACGCTTCAGAGCTATTAGTCCCGGAGAGTGCCACTGTTATGAAAATTCATCGTGAGATAATACGCAAGCTCCATGAACTTCAAAGAACAGCTCTGCCTTCATGAACCAACGAATACAATTCGCTTTACATAACATAAAAACATTTAATAAAGGTCCCCACCTGAAGAGACAATTCTCTTGTCGGAGAAAGCACCAGAGCTGATGGGTACTGCTTCTTACGACCTCCATGTGACATTGTTGGAGGGTGTTGCGCACCAGGACCATCCTAAAGACGTCGATTTTTTCGTAAATAGCAAATAAAAAAACAAGGATGAAAAACACGACCACCAGGAAAACAAACCTGAAGGATGGCGTTAATAACAGGCACTAGGAAAGCAGCCGTTTTTCCTGAACCTGTCTGTGCACAAGACATAAGATCGCGTCCGCTATTCAGCGCTGGAATCGAATATTTCTGCACTGGAGTCGGACGATTATAGCCTGATTTCTGGATATTCTCCTCAATCCATGGATGAAGCTTCAGATCAGCAAACTAGAAATTGTTCTCAAAATAATTATCAGCAGCAAAAAGATAAATAGAAGGGAAAAAGAGTTTAAGGTTAAAAGTAACAAACAAGAGAAATTGGCGGTGGGACATCTTCTCCAGTTGCTTCGACAGGAATTTCCTCATATTTGTCGAAGTTGATTCCTGATAGCTGACCAGCGAACAGCTCAGCTTCAAGGCGTTCATCACGTGGTTGTTGATGCTCCCACTTTGCTTGCACTCCATCGTCACGTAGACCTGCCCACCGACCTCTAAAACCCGTCTAATTTAGTTGAGTCTTAAGGTACTTGTTCGGACGCACATCAAAAGATGCACCAGAGGAAACGTTAAAAATAAAACGAACTTTGCCTCTTCGCGGTCGCCATTGTCTCTGCGCATCGGTTGTGAGTCGTAACCTCTATAAAAAATTGATTTGACAAAATCTTGTAAATAGGCAACAGGACCACATACCTTTGATTGTAGCCGCCACGGCCACCAGAATTCTGATAGTCATCACGACCACCATCATAACCGCCACCATTACGCTGGCCACCGCCGTAACCACGATCCGAAAATCGTCCGCTATTTCTGCCGCCGTAGCCGCGGTCATCGAAGCCACCTCGAGCTGAACATTTCATAAATTCACCTGACATGACCAAAGGTCTGGCGCTAACCTAACGATTCTTTGAAAATGAACTGCAACCCTCAAAGTTAGTAGCAGCTCAAATTGCCATGGTCACTTATAATGAGACATTTGTTATTCAACGTGTATTAACCGCCCAATTCTAATCTGCTTTTCTCACAGTAGTTTTTGGAAAGCTCCGATTTTTGCGGAGCCTCTTTGAATAAAAAATGGGTAGGCCCTTGAACTTTCAGCTCACAAGTCAGCTACTAGTTAAGTAAAATCACATTCGAAGGGACCACTGGGCGTGAACTTAAACGTCAAAGTTGTCTTTCACCATTAAAACTAAGCTATAAGACCTGACAGAAGCATGCACAAGGGGACGGCATTGACCCCGGTAGTATAGCCAACCAATTTTGCATCACATGCGCACGAGCTACCCATTGTGATTTTCATCGAACCAACATTGCTTCCAATGAGAAAACTGGATGGAATACTCAAGTTAAAAGCTCCC